CCATGAATCGTTTTTTTCTCCAATAGTTGACAACAGAATTTTGCTTTTACACTTAGGAGGTTAAGGCAGTGAATGGTTCTCGTATACATAGGACTTTTAGAAGAGAATATATCTTTATTTTTCTTCTATAAATATGATGTACTATCCAGTAACCTAGTTTATTCCTGTGAATTGTATCAGAAAACTTTAAGGATACTGTTTATGTTAAGTTTTTTGCAACCAACATTTTATGCCATTACCTTAATATTAGATATGAGTAAGCAATATACAGTATTTCAGATTGGAGTCTGTTTATGACATTTTAATTTTACAGTAGCAGATTATTTAAATAGAAATTGATCAGGTGAAAGAACTCATCTCTTCTCATGATAATGCCTTACGAGATCTGTCCATGGCTGTTGATGGTTAAATTTAAATGATATGTTTTATTCCTCTTCCAGAGACCTGTTGCCTAAAGATTTTGTAGTTTATACCTATAATGCAGAAGGGGCTCTAATCTCTGACCATCCCAATACACAGGTAATATATTTTTCTCTTTATCCTTCAGCACAATTTAAAACAATTATAACTTTAATGTGAGTTCTAGTCGGTCATTCTGAACAGTTATGTTGCATAAGTGCATGGATGCCTTTGACATGATAATATAGGAATGGCCCTGGAGGAGGTGGCTGCATTTACAGAGACTAAACTGCACCTGACAGCTCTCTAGGTGCTTAGTAGTTAAAATTTGTTTTCAAAAGATGAGGATACTGTATCTTCTACCTAATGAGATTCCTTACTGATTATGTAGGTTTTATATATTTGAAGAAAGAAATATTTGTTTTTTTTGTTGAAAGTTAATGTCCCTAAAACCACATCTTAATTCCTTATTAAGCCATTATTTGTCATTAGTGTTTAGTGAAGAAACAGATGTGTTTGTTGTCATATATTCTAATGTTCTAATTTTTGCTGAAAACATATCTTTCCTAAAGAGGTGTGGTCCTGTCTGCATCAGGTGACAGAATACTCTTGGGAACATATCTGGCCTGGAATACTCGAAATAATTGGCAGATACTGAACTTGGCTTTGTGTAAAAAACTTAGGAGTATAAACATTTCTAGTTTTGTTCAGGAGGAGTGTTTTGCAGTCCTTTTTGGCAGTTAGGTATTACACATTTTTTTCTTTTGCAATAGAAATCTTTATTCCTATTAAATGTGTTTTTTCCCTTAAAATTTGCTTTTTGCTAGGTTGAATTATGTTAGTTGCACACTTTATAGCATTCTTCAAATAAACAGAAGGCAAAAATCTTTATTTTGGATTATTATACTTAAAAATGAGGAAATGCTGACTTCATCCTCTCATTTTCTGGTTCACTGTCTGTTTCCTTTATTTTGGTGCATTGTTTGTTTATCATTTAATAGGAAATTAATAGAGGAGGTTAATTTTACATTATAGCATAAACCAGATAAAAATAATCCATCCATCTTTTCATTCATCCAAGATTACTATGTCAGGAAGCTGAAGACTGTATAATTTATGCCACTTAAGCAATGATCTTTAAGGCATTTTTTTCCTTATCAGGGTTTCTTGGTCTTCCAGGGGTTTCTTGGCATGCTGTTTTGAGACATGCACCACTTGAGTTTGAATTCTGGCTCTGTGTTTATTGGCTGGTGAGGTTACATTAACTTGTTTGTGTTTTAGTATCCTCACTTTAAAATAGGAAAAATAATTACTACTTTATGGGGAAGCTTAGAAGAGGCAGTCTGACAATTTTTGATTCAAATGCAATTATTATTTGTTGTTATTATTGAAGGAATATGTAGTTAAAACTGCTAAAATAGATTTCAGTTATATAGGAACTTATATAATTTACCTTTTTTTTTTTTCATTTTTCTTTTATTATTCATATGTGCATACAAGGCTTGGTTCATTTCTCCCCCTGCCCCACCCCCTCCTTACCACCCACTCCACCCCTCCCGCTCCCCCCCTCAATACCCAGCAGAAACTATTTTGCCCTTATCTCTAATTTTGTTGTAGAGAGAGTATAAGCAATAATAGGAAGGAACAAGGGTTTTTGCGGTTGAGATAATGATAGCTATACAGGGCATTGACTCACATTGATTTCCTGTGCGTGGGTATTACCTTCTAGGTTAATTCTTTTTGATCTAACCTTTTCTCTAGTTCCTGGTCCCCTTTTCCTATTGGCCTCAGTTGCTTTAAGGTATCTGCTTTAGTTTCTCTGCATTAAGGGCAACAAATGCTAGCTAGTTTTTTAGGTGTCTTACCTATCCTCACCCCTCCCTTGTGTGCTCTCGCTTTTATCATGTGCTCATAGTCCAATCCCCTTGTTGTGTTTGCCCTTGATCTAATGTCCACATATGAGGGAGAACATACGATTTTTGGTCTTTTGGGCCAGGCTAACCTCACTCAGAATGATGTTCTCCAATTCCATCCATTTACCAGCGAATGATAACATTTCGTTCTTCTTCATGGCTGCATAAAATTCCATTGTGTATAGATACCACATTTTCTTAATCCATTCGTCAGTGCTGGGGCATCTTGGCTGTTTCCATAACTTGGCTATTGTGAATAGTGCCGCAATAAACATGGGTGTGCAGGTGCCTCTGGAGTAAAAGTCTTTTGGGTATATCCCCAAGAGTGGTATTGCTGGATCAAATGGTAGATCGATGTCAGCTTTTTAAGTAGCCTCCAAATTTTTTTCCAGAGTGGTTGTACTAGTCTACATTTCCCACCAACAGGTAAGAGGGTTTCCTTTTTCCCCGCATCCTCGCCAACACCTGTTGTTGGTGGTGTTGCTGTGATGGCTATTCTAACAGGGGTGAGGTGGAATCTTTAGCGTGGTTTTTAATTTGCATTTCCTTTAATTGCTAGAGATGGTGAGCATTTTTTCATGTGTTTTCTGGCCCAATTTGAATTTCTTCTTTTGAGAAAGTTCTGTTTAGTTCACATCCCATTTCTTTATTGGTTCATTAGTTTTGGGAGAATTTAGTTTTTTAAGTTCCCTGTATATTCTGGTTATCAGTCCTTTGTCTGATGTATAATGGCAAATATTTTCTCCCACTTCTGTGGGTGTTCTCTCAGTTTAGAGACCATTTCTTTTGATGAACAGAAAGCTTTTTAGTTTTTATGAGGTCCTTTTCTATGCTATCTCTTATTGCTGTGCTGCTGGGGTTTCGTTGAGAAAGTCTTACTTACCCTACTAACTCCAGAGTATTTCCTACTCTTTCTTGTATCAACTTAAGATATAATTTACCTTAAAGTTTAATAGAATTGTTATTCTGGGTGTTTGGAAAGTATCAACTTAAGATCATGAAGTCTTTCACTTATTTATTGGTCATTTAATATTGTCCAGGTAGATGAGAAGGTGAGATTGTAGATTTGAAATACAAGTGAAAACTTTGATACTTGGATTTCTTTGGATGTGGTTAGATTGTCAGATATCACAATGACATATACTTTTTTTATCCATATAATGCAATTAAGATACACTGAGAATTTAAATACTAATGTTAATCTTAATTTAAGATTAATCTTAATCTTAATTTCTTAAGATTAGCATTAGTGTCTTTCACAAGACCAGTTTTCGTAAGTAACAGTTTCAGAAAAAATCAGTTAATGTGAGTTGCTATATGAAATAAAACTCCAGATTATAGTGTTTTAGGACTTTGGGATATCTTGCAAATGCATTAGAAATTCTCTTAACAGGTCCCCAGTTAAGTTTGATGTTTCATTCTTCTGAAGAACATGTAAGATTTGCCCAAGGTTCACTGGAGCTCTGTGGCTAGTAGGCTGTTCTATAATAGTTCTGTGTTCGTTGGTTCTCACTAGCAAAAGTTTTCCCTTACAGTTTGTGTGCTTCAAAACTGTATATGCCATTTGCACTTTTATTATAGTCTTACAGTTTTAATTTCATGTTTTTAAAACTTGCAGAATATGATTTGTTGTGTTTTTGAGCTCTACTGGTTAGAGGGAAATTTTCCCTCTGTCCTTTGAAGGTTTGTTAGGATAAACTGACAAAGACCAATTAGATGGGAGAAAAGGGATGCAGATTTATCAATACATAAAAAGGGAAAATACATGGCATGGAAGAAAGCTACAGAAGTGTGATTATCCACTAGCCCAACATAATTTAGAAATCAATGTGGTTTGTTTTTTTTTTTTCTATAGGGGTGGGAGAGGGACAGGATATCAGAGGAACAGTAAATGACTGTTTAGAGGAAAATGATGGGTTTGGAGAACATCAGTGGCCTGGGACAGATGATGGTTTGTCAGTGTTTCTCTCTGGAACTAGTATAGAGGGTGATGGTGTGTGACAAAAGTCTGTCCAAGTATGTTGGCAGACTTCACTCTTTCTTCCTGCAATGAGTTTAGTCTTCTGTGATTCATGAAGTTTTAGTGAGACTGAAGGCAATTGTGTTTTTCTTGGCAGAGCCAGTCAGGTAGATGAGGTAACTTTGGAACAGAACTAAATTGAATGCTGTGGAAACATGTAATAAAATCAAGTTATTAAAAGCACCATCAAGTTGGCAGACTAAGGAATTGCCTGTTGGATGTCAATGTAGGCATGCTCAGTGTGTCCATCGGTGAGCATGAGGTGCTGAGGAGCCCTATCTTTGACAGTGTTAATGCTGACCATTTGTTTGGTTAAGGAGTTACTGTATGCCAGGTTTCTCCTCTATAAAGTTACTAGTTTCAAAATCCATGTTATAGTTAGATACTTTCAGACAGTGTAAATATCCAGTACTCCTCAAATTTTTTTCACTAGTTTCAGTCTTTAGTATTTCCTGACACAGTTGTTACTCTGATGGTCGCCAAATGATGTATTTCTAATTTCATCAGTGCTTCTGGATTCCAAACTGCTTTGTACTCTAGGGAAGAGTTTCCCCTCTTACTTATTTATAGCAGTGTGGATTCAGGAATTCTTTCTTTGTTATGAATGAGAATGAAATCCTTGTATACATGTAATAATATTTGTAGATCTTCATTTCTAAATTGGTCATATCTTTTGCTCAATATTAATCTTTCCCTTCAATATTTATGAGTTCTTTATGTTTATGGATATTCAGCTCTATTTATCTTGCTAGTTAAAACTATTGTCTTCCTCTCAGTTGTCTTTTCTTTTTTTTGATGTTTCTTTCCATGTAGAAGCTTAATATTTTTATTTGCATTTATTTATTTATTTATTTGTGGTGGTACTGGAGTTTGAGCTCAGGGCCTACACCTTGAGCCACTCCACCTGTCCTTTTTTGTGATTTTTTTTTCGAGATAGGGTCTCATGAGCTGTTTCTCCAGACTGGCTTTGAACCACAATCATCCTGATCTTTGACTCCTGAGTAGCTAGGATTACAGGCATGAGCCACCGGTACCCAGTTTATGTTTTCATTCTTGTTTAACTTCTTGATGTATTTAGAATTTGTTCTTATGTGTGGTGTTAATTATGGATCTAATTTTATTTTCTTTATCTCTAATTGGCAGACTGAGCAGGATTTATTAAAAAGTGTGTCTTTTCCCCAGTGACACGCTTGCATATAGTACATAAAGTTCTATATGAGGTCTTGTCTGTTTAGAGACTTTCTATTCTGTTCCACTTGTTGGGCTCTCTGTTAATGTACCAGTACTGTACTGTTTTAATAACCCTGATCTTGTATATGTCTTAATGTCTGTTAGGGCTAGTGTTCCCTGCCCCTTGTCTTTTCTATTTTAGTGCTTTCAAAGTGTTTTAGATATGAGAAAATCTCATTAAGTACTAAAGAGTTTGGCATTACTCAGTGATTTTTATCCTTGCACTTCTGTTTAATTTTTTGCTTAAAATTAAGGTTAAAGGCTCTTAAGCTTTTGAAGATGACTGAATTTACAACTGATAATAGTATAATTAATACACTTTTAGGAAGAAGAGAAAATCATCTGACCAAAATAACTTTTTCCCCCTCATACTGAATCTCCTCCTTCCCTGGGCCTTGTTAGCCTTGCAAATGTTCTTCCCTGTATCAGATGTCAAGTGGCTGCTGGTGCATCTTGGATTCAGAGTGATTTAAAATGTTAAACATGACATAATGCGTCCTGTTCTGTTTCTAGGCTGAAAGGTCATTGGGGCAGAACTGTTTGTGCCTAGCATCCTCTGGAATTCTGCCCAAGCATTTGTGTACTTGTAGGGTGATGGTAGTTGGTTTGCAGAGGTCTGAAGACTGCCATGGAACATCTGAGATGCCAATAATGTCAATAAAATTTTTTAGTTTACTGACCTGAAGAACTTTTAGCAGTTCTGCAATTTCTGATGACTTTTATCAGTGTGACAGTACTTGAAGATAATACAGTGTTTTTCCATTTAGAATCATTGTCACTATCGGGGCTATGTGGAGGGAGTTTATAATTCATCTGTTGCTCTTAGCGACTGTTTTGGACTCAGGTAAGGAATTTTCTGTATTTGTTTTTTCTCTTTTTTTTCCCTTCAGTTTCTTATCCCTTCTATCTCAATCTCCAAATCAAGTCATTTTGTGGATTTAACAAAATTGGCCTTTACTTTGATGTTACTAGAGATCTTTTACAGCTACATTTCAGATATTCTTGGTATGCTTATTTGAGAAAACTTGTTAATTGGTGAATTTTAAGATCTGAAGGAGAAATTTCACCTTTTTGAGACCACTAAATAATTTCTGCTATTTAAAATAAAGTACATTTAAAATTCTGTAAGAGTTTGTTTAGAGAGTTTCCCCCTGTATTATTTTGTTAAGTCTCATGATGACTGAAAAAGGGCATATTATCACCATATTTGGTGAGCAAATAGGTTCAGAAAAACCGTATCATGTATCAAATGAACTTATAGTATGTTAAAGTTAGTGTACTGAAGGCCTGACAATATGGCACTGTTCTGGTTAGCTGATTACGTGGTTGATTGAACTAGTAAATATGACTTTTAATTCTTAAACCAACTGTATAAGATGGCTATCATCTTTAAGTAATAACATTTTTTGAAGAGTTACTGTGTACCATGGAATATTCTAAGTATTTTATGCAGGTTAAATAATTCAGTTATCTGAACAATCTTAGGCAGAGGTTAAAAGACTGGATGAGAATCCCTTGGCTAGAGAAAACGTAATGGGAGTCACACTCTGGTCCTTTAGTTCCAGACTTCACCCTCTCAGCCAGTATGTGGCATTCCCTCCCGCTTGACAGCTGTGGTTCAGAGAGGTAGTGACTTAACAGGCAGTCACGCTAGTCTTAGTAAGTGGCAGTTTTCACTTACAATTTTGGTCTGCCTGACTCTGAACCCTCTTTTTTTCCCTTTCTATCATGCGTACCTTCTTGTATGTGTTAAGAACTAGGACTTGAATTCAGGCTTTCTCATTTCTTTTCCTGTGCATCTTTTTTCTTTAAAAACTTGTTTGGGTGATGCAACATTTAGAGGATTGCTGCATTTAGAGAATGGAAGTTATGGCATTGAACCCCTGCACAACAGCTCTCACTTTGAGCACATACTTTATCCAATGGATGGTGTTCACCAAGAGCCCCTGAAATGTGGAGTTTCTAACCAGGATATAGAGGAGGGAACCACAGAGGATGAAGTGGAAGAGCATACCAGCATGACTCAGCTACTTCGAGTAAGGAAATACATTTTTTCATGGCTATGACTAATGGTTAAAAATTCATTTATTTATTCATTAAACCAGTACTTATTATTTTCTGACTATATGCCAGACAGTGTGATAGGAGCCAAAAGAATAAGCAATATCCAAAAAGTTTTTCCCCCCTGCCTGCCAAGTTGAGGAGACGTTTTTAGTTCTGAGGTTTGTAGAAACAGGACTTAAATCTTAAGCCCGAAGTCATATTCAGCAATTGGCTGCACAAGTCAGTTGATCTTCCACTGCCTTCGAGAGCAATGGAGGGTTTTTTTTTGTTTTAAGATAAACTGTTCCATAAATGGGAAATGGTGGAGTCTTAGAGGTTAAAGAGTGGAGAGAGAGAGAGACGAGAGAGAGAGAGAGAGAGATTGACTCGGCTTTAGGATATGAATTACCTCAGTTGTCTTACAAGGACACCTGTCTCTGTTTTTGAAGCTTCTTGCGGTCTCCCTGATTTACTCTTGACATGGGTCTTTTTGACTGAACTGGTTCTAGGTCTGGATCAACTGCAGGAACATCTCTACATTTGCAATGTATTGTGTTGGAATAGGCATATAGAAGGCATGATATAGATATATATATATATATTTGTTTTTTTGAGAAGGGTCTCACCTTTGATGTCTAAACTACGTCTCCCAGCTGCTGGGCTCAAGTGATCCCCTGTGTTAGGCCCTGGTGGCATGCAGTATTCCTGGCTAAGCATATTATAAAGTTAACTAATACTACTTGTAGTACTCATTTTCAGTGCTTCTGCTGGCCTCTGCTCTTTTGACTATTGAACTGTTCCTTTTGAATTTAAACATTGGAAAACTGCAATATTTGTTCTGTTCTCAACAGATTTCTCTAAAATGACAAAACTAAGTCAATTTTTTAGAGTGGGCATCTTGACTTTAGATTTATTAAGTTGATGCTCGTTCTTTTCATCACGGTGATGGGGTTTTCATTAAAGAGAGAGAGAGAGAGAGAGAGTGTGTGTGTGTGTGTGTATGTGTGCATGTATTGATTTAAAATTAGTAATCCTGCTGCTTTGAAAAAATGAACAACCTATTTTGTCTTTAGCTAGAGTTTTTCTCTGACCAATAGCTATATTAGTAGACTAACACTTTTTTTTAAAAGCAAACCATATACTTTAGACTATATGAAATAAGAAAATTTAACTGATGCCTTTGTTAGAGCATGATACATGACTAGAGATTAAGGTACAATCTATGTGCCAAGATGTATGTCTCCTTACAGTGTGTGTTTTGACAGAAAAGAAGAGCCGTCCTGCCTCAGACCCGCTACGTGGAGCTGTTCATTGTTGTAGACAAGGAAAGGGTAGGAAATGGTGACAGTTTTTCTTCTTTTTCATGAAAAGCAGATGAGAAGTGAGCATCTCATGAAGGAAATATAACGTATGATAAATATTTGTATTGGTTTTTCTTTTTTAAAAATTTTCTTTTGAATTAGCATAATTAATGACATGAGAGGCCTTTTCAAGGTTAATAATTCATGGACCACTATACAGTATGTTTTGAATAAGTGATAATTTTAAAACTAAATGGCATTTTCTTTTTTTCCTGAGACATATCTTGCTATGTAGTCCAGGCTGGCCTTGAACTCCCAATTTCCTGCTTCCTCCTCCCCAGTGATGAGATTACAGGCATGTGCCACCATGCTGAGCTTCCAGTAACAAACTTATGCTGCCTATCACTAAGGGTCTTGAGAACTTTTCACATAGGCTGAGACTATAAATCAAGCCAATCAGGTGTTGCCTAATGAAATTTATCTGCCTTACGGAATTTCAGCTAACCTGTACTTCACTTTAAGAGACAAGAAAACATCCAGCTGCTGGCATGCTTTAGAAACAATACTATTAAATCAGGGCATTTTCCACTATTTATATTTAAGACACTGAGTACTGCTTTACTTAACTATGAGAAAAGTAAATTGTCCTTTCTCAACATATGCAGGATTATCAATTTTAGATGTAGCTACTGTGTAACTTAAAATATAGATTATTTGAAATGTTTTGGGTGAACTTTTACTTCTAACTTTGTTGCTTGTATTAAGAGTTACCTGTATATACTCAATATAATTGGCGGTTCTTTTATAGTAAGCTGAAGAGAAAATCTTGAGGATTTTTTGGTTTAAAAAAATCCCTTATTGTGTGTAGGTTGGAAAATAATAAGTCCAAGTTATTACGAGACAGAAATGTCTCTAGTTTATTCATCATAAGTTCATCTCCCTCAAGTGGTAAAAGGAAAAACTTCGGGGGAATGTGAGAAGTGTGAACTCTGTTCCAAATAGCTCTGGAAAGTTTCTGTAGAATATTTGGATAAGTGACAAAAGTAGAGATTGAAAATGTTTTTGTCTATTCTTTCCAGATAGATTTGTTATATGTAGGTAGAAACTAGTTCAAAATAAAAATGGTTCCATTTCCATCAAGGTCTTTCAAATATTTTAAAATATTTTCTTGCTTAGAAGGAGGATGATAAGTTACCTAAATGATAAGATTATATATTCTGATATTAAGGCCTTTATCATAGAGCAAAGTCATAAACTTTTTAAAAGATTTTTCTTTTGTTAGTGAATTTATTATATAAAATAATGTTTTTTTTTTTCATTTTTCTTTTATTATTCATATGTGCATACAAGGCTTGGTTTATTTCTCCCCCTGCCCCACCCCTCCCTTACCACCACTCCACCCCTCCCCTCCCCCCTCAATACCCAGCAGAAACTATTTTGCCCTTATCTCTAATTTTGTTGTAGAGAGAGTATAAGCAATAATAGGAAGGAACAAGGGGTTTTGCTGGTTGAGATAAGGATAGCTATACAGGGCATTGACTCACATTGATTTCCTGTGCGTGGGTGTTACCTTCTAGGTTAATTCTTTTTAATCTAACCTTTTCTCTAGTTCCTGGTCCCCTTTTCCTATTGGCCTCAGTTGCTTTAAGGTATCTGCTTTAGTTTCTCTGCATTAAGGGCAACAAATGCTAGCTAGTTTTTTAGGTGTCTTACCTATCCTCACCCTCCCTTGTGTGCTCTCGCTTTTATCATGTGCTCATAGTCCAATCCCTTGTTGTGTTTGCCCTTGATCTAATGTCCACATATGAGGGAGAACATACGATTTTTGGTCTTTTGGGCCAGGCTAACCTCACTCAGAATGATGTTCTCCAATTCCATCCATTTACCAGCGAATGATAACATTTCGTTCTTCTTCATGGCTGCATAAAATTCCATTGTGTATAGATACCACATTTTCTTAATCCATTCGTCAGTGCTGGGGCATCTTGGCTGTTTCCATAACTTGGCTATTGTGAATAGTGCCGCAATAAACATGGATGTGCAGGTGCCTCTGGAGTAACAGTCTTTTGGGTATATCCCCAAGAGTGGTATTGCTGGATCAAATGGTAGATCGATGTCCAGCTTTTTAAGTAGCCTCCAAATTTTTTTCCAGAGTGGTTGTACTAGTCTACATTCCACCAACAGTGTAAGAGGGTTCCTTTTTCCCCGCATCCTCGCCAACACCTGTTGTTGGTGGTGTTGCTGATGATGGCTATTCTAACAGGGGTGAGGTGGAATCTTAGTGTGGTTTTAATTTGCATTTCCTTTATTGCTAGAGATGGTGAGCATTTTTCATGTGTTTTTCTGGCCATTTGAATTTCTTCTTTTGAGAAAGTTCTGTTTAGTTCACTTGCCCATTTCTTTATTGGTTCATTAGTTTTGGGAGAATTTAGTTTTTTAAGTTCCCTATATTCTGGTTATCAGTCCTTTGTCTGATGTATAGTTGGCAAATATTTTCTCCCACTCTGTGGGTGTTCTCTTCAGTTTAGAGACCATTTCTTTTTGATGAACAGAAGCTTTTTAGTTTTATGAGGTCCCATTTATCTATGCTATCTCTTAGTTGCTGTGCTGCTGGGGTTTCATTGAGAAAGTTCTTACCTATACCTACTAACTCCAGAGTATTTCCTACTCTTTCTTGTATCAACTTAAGAGTTTGGGGTCTGATATTAAGATCCTTGATCCATTTTGAGTTAATCTTGGTATAGGGTGATATACATGGATCTAGTTTCAGTTTTTTTGCAGACTGCTAACCAGTTTTCCCAGCAGTTTTTGTTGAAGAGGCTGCTATTTCTCCATCGTATATTTTTAGCTCCTTTGTCAAAGATAAGTTGCTTATAGTTGTGTGGCTTCATATCTGGATCCTCTATTCTGTTCCACTGGTCTTCATGTCTGTTTTGTGCCAGTACCATGCTGTTTTTATTTATTGCTTTGTAATATAGTTTGAAGTCAGGTATTGTGATACTCCTGCATTGTTCTTTGGACTGAGTATTGCCTTGGCTATTCGTGGCCTCTTGTGTTTCCATATAAATTTACAGTAGATTTTTCAATCTCTTTAATGAATGTCATTGGAATTTTGATGA